TGGGGGGGCCCTTACGAGTAGCTGTGGTGTTGCTGGCGCCGGCGGGGGTTCTGGGGGGGATGGGGGGGCTCGGGGGGGGCACAGGGGGGTTTCTGGGGGGCCCTTACGAGTAGCTGTGGTGCTGCTGGCGCCGGCGGGCCGTGCGCATCTTCTCGAACCGGGCCTCCATCTCCTCCAGCACCTTGGGCGTGTAGCGAACAACCAGCTTCACCGTCCCCTGGGCCGCCTTCAGCAGCTCCACGGCCTTCTCGTGCTGCTCCCCTTCCACACTCTGCCCCACGCACAGACAAACGGGGGTCAGGGGCACAGACACCCCCCCCCGGCACTGTCCCCCCCACCTCCTGCTCGCTGCTGCCTCCGTCTCCCCACACGCTCAGCCCTCCCAGTCCCCAGGCCGGTCCCCCTGTGCTGCCCCATGTCCCTTCCCCAGTGCCTCCCCCATGGTCCCCGTCCCCATCACCCCCCCAGCATCCTCCCTACATCCCTTCCTGGTGCCCCCCATCGCCCCCCCATGTCTCCTCCCGGAGCCCTCCCCACGCCAGCCCCCCCCCCACGGCCACCCCTACGTCCCCTCCCGGTGTCCCCCCCCATGCTGATCCCCTCCCAGTGCCCCCCCATGCTGGTCTCCCCCCTACCCCCCATCGCTCCCCTGCATCCCTCCCATGTCCCCTCCCAGTGCCCTCCCCACGCCACCCCCAAACGACCCCCCGCTCACCACGCCGTTGACGGACAGCAGCTGGTCCCCCCGCTTGAGACCGCCGTGCCGGTCGGCGACGCCGCCGGGGATGACGCGGGAGATGTAGATGGGCGAGTTCTGCTCCTTGCCCCCCATGATGTTAAAGCCAAGACCCTCGTCTGTCTTGGGCAGCTCCACCACCCGGGGGTGCGCATGGCCCTCGCTCGCCGCGAACGCCGCCACCGTGGCCTGGGGGCACAGACGCAGGGCGCTGGGGGGGGGGCGGGCGCCCGAGGGAGGGGTCCCCGGGGAGGGGCGGTGCCTGGGCCCGGCTCTTGGGGGAGAGGGAGCAGGCGGGGCTAGGCCCAGCTCTCGGGGGTGGGGGGTCCGTCGGGAAGGGCTGTGCCCAGGCCCAGCTCTCAGGGGTCCCCAGGGGGGGTGCAGTGGCCAGGCCCGGCTCTCAGGGGTGGGGGGG